TTATCTATTATTTAGATCAAGGTGACCTGGTAGTGTAGTAGATTATGAACTGGGCTTCTAAGAGAGTCTGCAGTTCAAATACAGCAGTTGCTCTGTGGGAGAGATGAGACTTTCTGCTCCTATAAAGAATTACAGCCTCCGATACCCTATATCTGGCCACCACCACTATTCAGGGTTTTTTTCTCCACTGCCCCCTAAAAATGAGTCTTACAAAGTCCTAGGCTGTGAAACCAGTTCAAGTGAAATTGATCTGCACTTAGAAAATATCAGAGTGTTGTGCATAGTGAAACTTGTTTCAATCTGTGTATGTTGTTGTGTGTCGTGGAGTCAGTTCCGACTCATAGCAACCCTGTATAGGGTTTCCGAGGCTGTAAATCTTTACAGGAGCAGAAAGTCTCATCTTTCTCCCGTAGAAGAGCTGGTAGTTTCGAATTGTTGACCTTGCAGTTCGCAGCCCGATTCGTAACCACTACGCTACCAGATCTCCTTAATCTGCGTATAGAATCAGTGTAAAATGTATTTCTTACTGAGGGTCATGTCAAAAAGTGTGAGACACTAACCTAAAAGAATCCTAGAAAAGGAGAGAGTTAAATCAGATGAAAACTTAAGCTGCACATAAAGCAAGGTGTACCTTATTCAAAAACATTTGTAATTATTTCAGGAAGCCAAACACAAAATGCAATCAATCATGTGTTTGAATTACAAGAAATGGTGAAAACAAGCCACTCCCTAAAGGCTTCATCTTTTTTCTGCCTCCTTTATTTAAATTATTCCTAAGAGATAATCAACTCTTGTTAAGTGTCAAGCAGTAGGTTCTGACTCATGACAATATCGAGTTTCCAAGGAACAGCTAGTAAGTATGAACCACTGACCTTGCGGTTAGCAGTCCAGTGCTTATCCTACAGTGCTACACCAGAACTCAAAAACTTTAAAGTACCATCAAAATGGCTGTAAATCTTTGTGAGAGCAGAAAGTTTCATCTTTCTCCCACACAATGGCTGATGGAGTTGAACCGCTGACCTAATGGCTTATAAGTCAATGTGTATCCTACAGAGCAGAGCCATCATGCTCCCTAGGATTTCAACACTAGCACCTACCATTTTAGAACAAGTTTACAACCAGTGGAGTTTTTGCTACACACATCATCACATTTGGCAATGTCTGGAGAACTTTTGGTGATCACACTGAGGGTAAGGTTAGGGGGAATGTATGTGTGATGCTATTGGTGTCTAACAGATTATAGGACAAAGATGCTGTTAAACATCCTACAATGCAGATAACCAAAAAAACCCCAAACTTGTTGACATCAAGTCCATTTCAAATCATGGTGACCCTACAGGGGAGATAGAACACCCTAGCATTTCCAAGGCTGTAATTCGGACCAACTGGATGGCACTTAATAACAACAATCTTTATGGAAGCTGACTGTCGTATCATACTCCCACAAGCAGTTGGTGAGTTTGAACTGCTGACCTTTGGGTTAGAAGCTGAATTCTTAACCAAAGGGAAGCTCTCCACAATAAAGAATTACCTAGTTCAAAGTGTCAGCAGTGCTAATATTGAGCGACCCCGTTTTAAATTGGGGACATACACCCTTAGCCCAGTCCACTTTAGTTCTTGGAAGAGAAACAGTTGAACCATTATCCTATCTACAAGTAGACTTATAACCACATATAAATGAAATTCATCATGAGTTTAAGTAAAATAATCATTTTTCAGTTTGGGGGAGTACTAACTTTGAAAGGTCTCTAATCTTAAGTGTACTGAAGTTTATTAACATATAGCATTTAATATTTTTCTCTTGACATAAATAAATTCACAAATAATTCAGTAAAGACTCTCATACAACATGTAATAAAAATTTATATATTTTCCCAAAACATCCTGAAATAGTAGAATAAGCATTACCAGCAGATGGACTGCCAGGGGGAAAAAAACCTAGAAAGAAATATAAGCAAAAGGCAGTGAGTTATCCAGGTGATGAATGGTTCTTCTCTCCCCAACACCTAAACATCACCCTCCTTAAGCCGCTTCCTTCTTCTCCATATTCAGACATCCTCAAAGAACAGAAAGAGACACTTAGAAAATCTTTAATGGTGTGGGTGGGGGAAAAACTAAAGGACTTCAAAAAGTTCGTGGAAAAATGGAAAGGGGAAAGGGGTGGAGAGGAAAATTCCTCAGAGACTAAGATACAGGCATTAGGGACACAGAAAATATGTGCAACACACTTAGCATGACATCTAGCACACTCTAAGCACTTAAAAAGTTATTATCTTCCTATTGATAGGAATCAAATTGACAAGTTAAAAGATTAATGGGAACCATAATAAGTGATTGCACAACTCAGAAGAATGTAATCAATGTCACTAAACTGTACAGTTAGAAAATACTGACTTGGTCTGTTTTGCGGTGTATAGGGTATTCTCAACAGCAAAATAAGTTTTAGGAAAAAACTCCACAAAATCGGAGCGCTAACTTCTTTTAGAAAACAACCCTTAGTTCTAAACTCTTTTTTACAAGTGTAAGAAGGGGTGATGAAAAGTACTTGACTGTAACTGGAAATACAAAAACTACTTTTATTTTTTACTTAACTTTAATCACAAATGATTATCCCTGCAAAGACTCACTTCGATGCCACTATGTCCCTGATGTGTACCTTCCCAAAATTAACACATACATATTAGTCTGTAGAAATATGCATTGTTCTGTAATCTTGTCCATGACAGTACATATTTATCCCATTCGTTGTAACAGTCATCAGTCAGCTTTGCTAAAGAAGCGCGTTTCCAGAGTTAAATGACTTCTGCTTCCCACAAAAAAAGTGTGATGGATGGGAAGTACTGATGTTGGAAAAAAGGTCAAACTCAGGTACAGAGAGGCAAATTTATAGGTTTTCTTTCCATGGAGATGTATGGGATGGTGGCCCAAGACTCCGTTTGAGAAAGCACCGTGGATAAATTATACACCGCCACACGCCAACAGTCTTTGAATCCTCTCCTAACAACCCCAAATCTAAGACCTCCCTCTCGACTGGAGCGCTGATTGGACGTCTGGCCCGAGAGCTTTCTGGAGACTATTTGCTCACTGGTTCCAGATTTGGTCCATCCATTTACCCGCCCGACTCCGCATCCCCCATTGGAGTCAGATCGCGGATTCTCGGAGAAGCCCAACCTACCGCGCGCTTAGTGTTCATTGGTTCAAAGAACCACTGCTCAGGAGGGGAAAACCCGCCTCCCACATTCCGAAGGCCCTAGGACGATCAGTCGGTAGATGTAGGCACACCTAATTGGCCTATAACGTCGCCAGTCAAACGCTAGGGCTGCACAGCGCCGAAAACCCCACAGGGATTAAAACATCCCGCCCCCTGCTCATCCATTGGTTGGCCCGACTCACCGGTCCCCCCTTCACTGTCCCCCACCCCGAGGCCCATTCATTCCACACAATAACGGGTCCGATTGAAAACGGTTTAAGACCTCCTATGGATAGATAAGATTGTCAGACACTTACCCGGGATCGAGAGTGATCACTCACGCTAACGTCTTCTCTGTTACTCTGTGGCAAGGCCGGACCACAAGCCACTGCTGCCGCCTCCTTCTGCGCAACGCCAACCGCCCGCCAAAACGGATCCTTCTCTGCGCTTGCGCGACCAATCCTGAGCCCTGACCCTTTCTCCGCCCATTATGCCTGCGCAAGTCCCGCCACTACGCAGGCGCTGTGGGTTCAACGCCACTCCCGCCCGCCATTTCACGTGTCCCAAACGGCAGGTGGAACTTCTTAGTGCGCCTGCGCAGCCTCCCCATACACATATATATACATATACATATATACATGTGTACATATATACATATATATGTATATATATATATATTTTTTTTTTTTTTTTTAACTACACATGGGCCTTGTAGGTGATCTTGAATACCACTCCACACCTCCGCCCAAAATCTGTTACAGGCTAAATGCATTTCTAATGTACACTATTTGGCGTGCTTTTAAAAGGAATGCACTACTTGGAGGGTGGAGAATCCAAAACTTAAGCATCCTGAAATCAAACCCATTCCCGTTGAGTAGAATTCTGACATAATTACCGTAGGGTTGTTGTTGTTAAGTGCCGTGGAGTCGGTTCCGACTCATAGCGACCCTGCACAGGATTTCCGAGGCCGTAAATCTTTACGGGAGCAGAAAGCCTTATCTTTCTCTCTTGGAATAGCTGGTAGTTTCGAACTGCCAACCTTGAGGTTAGCAGCCCGGTTACCCTAGCGTAGTGGTTACGAATCAGGCTACGAACCTTAGGGTCAGCAGTTCGAAACTACTAGCTGTCCCGCGGGAGAAAGATGAGACTTTCTGCTCCGGTAAAGATTTACGGCCTCGGAAACCCTGTACATGGTCGCTATGAGTGGAAACCGACTCCACGGCACATAACCACCACCACCGCCACCACCATGGTTTCCAAGGCTGTAAATGTGTTTAGAACGACGACAAAGTTCAAGCCGCTGACCTTTCGTATCTCAGTCAGGCGCTTAACCACTGCGCCACCAGGGGCCCTTTAAATACTTTGTTGTTTTTGCCAAGTCCCGACCCATAGCGACCCTATATATAGGGTTTCTGACGAGCAGCTGGTGAGCTTGAACCACCAATCTTGGGGTTCAAACCAACTTTACGGTCTAGCGTATTAACCCAAAGAGCCACACACCACGACTCCTTTAACCACTTTAGTTACATTCAAACATGAATGACTGGCCGGGTAACCAATCAGATTAACTAAAATTATCATTATTCAGGAACCAATAGACTTCAATGGGTGGAGCCTGAGTAGACCGCCCAAATGGATGACGTAACAGAGCTGTGCAGCATTACAAACCAATAGTATGAGGAAGATATATCACTTATCCAATCAGAACTAAGCAAAAGCGGACACTCCCAATCCCGAAAGTGAGAAGGCGGGATAAAAAAGAGAGGCCGTAGGTAGGCTGGCAGATACGTTCGTTAGCCTACTCCTTTCTGCTCGTGGACACCGCGGAGGAAGCATCGTCTTTTTTTTTTTTCTCCCCCCTCACCGCCGTCATGTCTAAGTCAGAGGTGAGTAAGATGTCCATTTCAACTTATTTTCTTCCTATCTTCTTACTGCGTTCTTTAACATTCGGCTTTATTTTATTGCTGGCACCATCTGTATCGGCAGTTGCTTCCGTCCTGCCAGGGCCTACCCCTCCCGAAGTTCAAGTCGCCATTTTGTCTTCGTCGTCGCCATGAGGCCGCCGTCCGGCAACCATTAATTATACTGGGCTTGGGTTACGCACGGCAGAACTGTTAGGCACTGTCGGTGTGCTTTTGCTATTATTATTTTTTACCTTGGCTCTATGGAATAGCGTTTTTACTCTTCGATTGGCGACGTAGGTCTCCCTGCCAAGTCCTTTTGTTGCGCGTGCGTCTTAAGGCGTGTAGGGACGCATGCGCCTCAGGCTTCGCGAGCCTATTAACCCCCAACGTCGCGCCACCCAGATAGGAAGAAGCACGTGGCTTGTCGCACTCAGGTGGAACAATGCTATGTATGCGAGTGCCTAGTTGTGCTTTTGGAAACTGAGTTACGTGTAATATCTTCAACGTTGTTTCCTACTCCTAGTCTCCTAAAGAGCCCGAACAGCTGCGGAAACTCTTCATCGGAGGTTTGAGCTTTGAAACAACAGATGAGAGCCTGAGGAGCCATTTTGAGCAATGGGGGACGCTCACGGACTGTGTGGTAAGATAAAAGGCAGAATGAAGCCTTTTTCTTCGGTTCATGTTTTTGGGGGCTCCTGTTTGAACATAAAGGTTATTAGAATTGTAGCTTGGACAGTGTGACTTTACTGATTATCTTGGACCTCCAGGATCCCAACTCAATACCTAGAACAATGACAAACTAAAGTGCTTTGTAATATTACTGGTATAAAATTCCCTGTTTCCTCGTTCAGTATGAGAATGGTAATAGCGACTGGGATCTTAGCCATGTGTTAAATGAATTGACAACTTCCTCAGGTGATGAGAGATCCAAACACCAAGCGCTCCAGAGGCTTTGGGTTTGTCACTTATTCTACTGTGGAGGAGGTGGATGCAGCCATGAATGCAAGGCCACACAAGGTGGATGGAAGAGTGGTGGAACCAAAGAGGGCTGTTTCAAGAGAAGTAAGTTTCTCCTCTTGGTCCTTTGGAAATGTGCCAGAAAGAGTATTGGAAGATTGTTGGACTTCTGGATTTTGGGAGGTAGCCATGGTTTTTTTTTAACTAAGTAACTTAATGTGGTTTCCTTTTTATTTAAGGACTCTCAAAGACCAGGTGCCCACTTAACTGTGAAAAAGATTTTTGTTGGTGGCATTAAAGAAGACACCGAAGAGCATCACCTAAGAGATTATTTTGAGCAGTATGGAAAGATTGAAGTGATTGAAATCATGACAGACAGAGGCAGTGGCAAGAAGAGGGGCTTTGCATTTGTAACCTTTGATGACCATGACTCTGTAGATAAGATTGTTAGTAAGTATCAGATGATTGGACCTTAGTAGGATTCTAAGATCCATGTGGTGTTTGAAACACAAAGATTTATTTTCTTTTGAAATTTTTTAGTCCAGAAGTACCATACTGTGAATGGCCACAATTGTGAAGTAAGGAAAGCCCTGTCAAAGCAAGAGATGGCCAGTGCCTCCTCCAGTCAAAGAGGTGTGTGTTGCTTAAACCTTAAACGTTAATTCAGGGCAACCCAAACTGTATGGTCTGACATAACTTGTTTCTCAAAGGTCGAAGTGGTTCTGGAAACTTCGGTGGTGGCCGTGGAGGTGGTTTTGGTGGGAATGACAACTTTGGTCGTGGAGGAAACTTCAGCGGACGAGGTATGTATGATAATACGTATCAAAGCTGTAAATTGATAGTCTACGATAACACCTATGGTGCTGCGTGTGAAAAACCATTGCTTCCAGTGTATTCTGACCAAAGTGTAGTCATGGGACAGAATAACCCCACAGAGCAGCTGTTGATTTCAAGCCACTGACCTTTTAGGTTAGAAGCTGAGTATTATGTCCACAACAATGTAAGAGGTGTAGTATGTAACGTCTGATCATTATCTTCAAAGATATGTTTTGTTAAAATGTCATTCTCCTGGTTAGTGAAAAGCCAAGAATTGGCAATTGTGTTATGTAGAATAAGGACTACCTCCTAAAATGGAAACTTATTTCTTCCAGGTGGCTTTGGTGGCAGCCGAGGTGGTGGTGGATATGGAGGCAGTGGGGATGGTTATAATGGATTTGGTAATGATGGTGAGTGGCTCATCCTGGTTGATTTTTGTTTTCAATAAGGAACATGTAGGCACGCTCCCATTACCTTTAGGTAGGCTAGTCGACACTAAAAGTAGTGCATGACAAACTCAATTCTCACCATAATACGCATGCTGTGGGCAAGCCTTTAGCCCTGTGCTTGCACAGGTATTGATTGTCAAATACTTTTGTCTTATTGAGAAGAATTGTATTCTTGTAGGTGGTTATGGAGGAGGCGGCCCTGGTTACTCTGGAGGAAACAGAGGCTATGGAAGTGGTGGACAGGGTTATGGAAACCAGGGCAGTGGCTATGGCGGGAGTGGCAGCTATAACAACGGAGGAGGCGGAGGCGGCTTTGGCGGTGGTAGTGGTAGGTATCCAGTGATGCAAGTACTTGGTGTGAAAGCTAGACTAGCCTCTTAGAGTTTGCCCATGTTTTTTGGGTTTGATGCTGTTATACAGCATTAAGTGTTAACACTGCATGGTATATTTCAAAGGTAAATAGATTTGCTGTGCTACTACCTCCTCCTAGCTTTAAGCTGGGGCCGCCTCACTCACTATTAAGTAGATGACATAAGTGGATAGTGGTATCTTTATTGGAATTAGATTAGCTTCCACTGCAGGATTTAGGGTCTTCATTCTGGGACCTGAGGCACTTAGTTGATATATCCAAGAAGTTTGTTAGCAGTGGCCCTAAATGGCAAAAAGCTCTAAAGCCCTTCAAGGCTAGAAATTAGATCTTTTTTAAAAAACACATAAACAAATTTAACAATCTTATAATCTTATGGGTTGGTTTTCTTTTTAAGCTGCTGGATTATTCAACTTAATGCCCTGACCAGAGAAGATGGGATTGCAGAGATAACCAGTGACTAGAACCAAAGTAGCTTGGGAGGGAAAGGGCAAGCAAATGATAAAACCTTTTCTTCACTTGTGAATACTAATACTGACAGGTTTTATCGTCCTCCAAGTAACACAAAGGCCTTTTTCCCTTCCTAGGAAGCAATTTTGGAGGCGGTGGAAGCTATAATGATTTTGGCAATTACAATAATCAGTCTTCAAATTTTGGACCCATGAAGGGAGGAAATTTTGGAGGTAGAAGCTCTGGCCCTTATGGTGGTGGAGGTCAATATTTTGCCAAACCACGAAACCAAGGTATTGTATCTATGTAATATTGGTGTAGCTTGAATTTTATTATGATGATCATACATATCTCAAATGGAATTATTAGACACTCAAACCGTACCCAATATTCTTCCCTCAGGTGGCTATGGCGGTTCAAGCAGCAGCAGTAGCTATGGGAGTGGCAGAAGGTTTTAATGATAGCCAGGTAAGTAGGCACCTTTTCATGTTTTGAGTTAATTTTTATAATTGCTAATGAACCCAGTAACCCTAATGTAGCTGAGCAGTGCAACAGTTAACATAATTGTAGTAAAATTGTGGATATTAATATTCAAGCACAGCAAAATTTGTGGGAAACAACTTGCTATTGGATTGTAGCCTTGAGTCTTAATGTGTTTAGATTAACAACTTTATTCCATATTGTTCAACAGGAAACAAAGCTTAGCAGGAGAGGAGAGCCAGAGAAGTGACAGGGAAGCTACAGGTTACAACAGATTTGTGAACTCAGCCAAGCACAGTGGTGGCAGGGCCTAGCTGCTACAAAGAAGACATGTTTTAGACAATACTCATGTGTATGGGCAAAAAACAAAACAAAACAAACTCGAGGACTGTATTTGTGACTAATTGTATAACAGGTTATTTTAGTTTCTCTTCTGTGGAAAGTGTAAAGCATTCCAACAAAGGGTTTTAATGTAGATTTTTTTTTTCCGCACCCATGCTGTTGATTGCTAAATGTAATAGTCTGATCATGACGCTGAATAAATGTCTTTTTTTTAATGTGCTGTGTAAAGTTAGTCTACTCTGAAGCCATCTTGATAAACTACCCCACAGTGTGAAGTTTAGAATTCCTTCAGGGTGATGCCAGATTCCATTCAGTTTACTTATATAACCTTAGAGAAGGACTGCTTGGGGGCAGAGAAGCCATTTGCAGAAACCATGGTATAGTTGAACTGACAGTTGCTATGTTAAGAACCTGGAATTTACCATTAAATGGTCACCCAAGCAGTTAAACAATTGGTTATAAAAATGGTTGTTGGCACATCCTATGCAATATATCTAATTTGAATTAATGGTACCAGATAAAATTATAGATGGGATTGAAATTTATGTATCATCCATGATCATGTGTATTCAATAAAAAGATTTAATATCTTGAATGGAATGGAAAACTGTATGGATTTGAGACCGGCAGAGTTTTGGACTTACCCTACCCACTACCCCTGAACCATGTTGAATGCTTCTCAAAACTCAAATTCATTACTCTGCCAGAGTAGGCACCAGGTGGTGGCTAATGCCACCCCATAAGTTTATTATACAGATTAGAAGTGTTTGGGAGACCTTTCTAAAATATAACGGATACCAAATTTTATTCTTAACATTAAAGAAGCTTACATTAAAGGAAAACTGCAGTTATGCTGGGTTCTGGATGGGTGGGTCTTTATAAAGATTTATAGATAAAATACAACTCTGGGGAGCAAAATTATAGAAAAGGGAATGGAAACTAACTTTATCCATATAAAGTTGACTTTAACTGCAGCTTTCCTTTAAACACATTTTAAAAGTGTTATTTGTATAGAACATGATTTCTAAATCTAAATGGTTAATCTCCAATAATTGTTATTTGTACATAGGTTCTTCTGAGCCTTCCCTTTGGTACCCTTTTTAATTTCAGCACCATTGTACCTTAGTATAGAGATTGTTGATAAATAGTGTATATTCCATTCCATGGGTCTGTTGATTGAAATTTGGGGAGGAGGGTGGAGAAAGGTGGGTGGGAGGTGTTGGTGGGTGGGGAAGTATGGGTGATAGTTCCATGGGTTTGATACTGGCTGAGTTTGCAATAGCAGGTGGAACCTTAACTGTTGAGGGAGTTTGCAGATACCTCAGGATTCCTGACAATGCCTTTAAAGATCCAGGAGAGATGTTCAGCTACTAGGAACTGCTAGCAAATATAGCGCGAATGGCTCCGAGCTCAGACACTCTACAGCTGAGAGTAGACACTTGTGGTATGTGGAGTACAGATAAGCCAGGGGCAGGCCACGGCACGCTCCATGAAAGCTAGGAGGGAGTGAAGTTTCAGTGACCACCGCAAGGAAGGAGGCAGACAAGAGTAAGGTACATCTGACTCTTAGGACTAGCAGTCAGAACCAGGAGGCAAGGTTTTATTGCTATGCTGGTAGGTAAGAACAGATTTTATTTACATCTATATAGTTCTCTAAAATTCAGTTTTCTGCTAAATGTTAACTATTGAGCCAAAAGAAAACTAGTCCAGTTATATACTTGGTTTTACTGGAGATGAATTCTATCTAAATCCATTCCCTAGTTTTGATGGCTCCCAATTGAAGGAAGTGTGAGCACATTAAATTATTTCTATTGTAATTATTTACACTTAAGATAACATTTTGCCCTTTAATTTTTGTTAATTTCTACTTTCTATTGACCCATTTTTCTTAAAATAACGGCTCAAAGTAGTAACGCATTATAGTTTTCCCCAAAATGACTGTGGGAGGGTGGGTGGACCATTAGTGGGAGGTGGGGTTAACTTGATGGGACTTGGTCTCAGGAAAAAAGCTAGTTTTCTAAAGATGATTTACTTTTTTAGGAACGAACGTGCTACTACAGACATCAACTCATTTTAAAAAAAAAAGCCAGAATCTCATTTGTCCACACTTAAAACTTAAACGGTAAGTAATTTGGCTTGCTGTCTGTACTATTTCCTATATAGAAAATGGATAGAGTTGCTTATAGAATTCTTTTACTTCTGCTATGTAAATAAATACAATCTTTTCCTCTTTTTGCAGAAACATCCTCCTGAGGACCTTTATCTGAGCCATTGTGTGCTTCATTCTCACTGCCATGCAGTTGGTTATAGCTAAAATTCAGTTTTGTGAATGAATTTTTAATAAATTTTATTTTCTCTATGTCATGTCGTTCATATTTAAAGAGTCCTGGTGTGGCACTATGTGTGGGTTAATGCGCTGTATGTACTGCAAAGTTGGTTTGAACCACAAGATCAGTGGTTCAGGCTCAACAGCCACCAATCCTTGGAAGCCCTATACAGGGTCACTATGAGCTGGAACTGACTTGATGATACTTAACAACAAATATAGTCATAGCCCATCTCCTTACCACTACGTCTTAGGATCATGCTTATGGTCACTACTTTTTGAAATGACTGTTAAATCAGCCAATAGTGTGGTTAAGGAAAAAGAATTGGATTGTTGGAAGTGGTTCTAATACAATCGGTGGTCAATTCCACATTGTAAAATGAAAGTAGATAAACAAGCTGTAAAACCACTACATTCCTCTTGTTCTAAAGCCAATTTTTAGGTCAGTGTAAACCATAACCAGGTTTGATCTGCATAAGTAGTAGCTGACTTAAAATGTGTTCAAGTTTATTAGCATTTACAACTTAACCTTTTAAAATTATAGGTATATACTGCTATCCCGTTGCAGATGTAAGAACCTGGCAGTATTTGTCCTCTTCACTGTATTCTACTCACAACAAGACCCCTGTTAGTGTAGCACAAAGTTGGGTCTTCAAACCCACCAGCTGCTCTTTGGAAACCTTAATAATAGGGGTCATTGAGTCACAGCCAGCTTGATAGTGCTTAACAATTGAGCTTACTTAGGTGCTCAAGGTTGAGCAAATGGAATGCTTTTTGTCCTAGTGTGGCGCTGTGGGTTAATGTGCCCTGTTTGAACTGCAAGGTTGGTAGTTCAAGCTCACCAGCTGCTCCTAGGGAACTATACAGGGTTACTATGGGTTGGAATGGACTCGACGGCACTTAAAGTTGGGAGCTTAGTGATAGATGTGTAGGGCTTCTGGATGGCTGGTGGGTTTTACCTGCTGACCTTGCTGTTGCCAGTTAGTGTTTTATCTTAAACGTGTTATCACCAGAACACCATTGTGAGCTTGGTTACAATTTAAAAACTCTTGAATGTCTGGTGGTCCCATAGGTGAGATGAAATTTTCTGAACTGCTGAACAAAAATGAGCATTGAAGTCTTAAAATATATAAAGGGCCTTCAAAAAGTTTATGAGACTGTAAATAACATTTTCCCACAAACTTGCTGAAACTGCCTGAAGTTAGAAACTTCATTTTTTATTCCTCATGTAAGTTTCAACACAGATTTGTTGAAATCTGGGAATCTTGAGGTTCCCTAAAGGAACCTGAAATTGGCCCTATTTCATCCTCTGGTCCAATTTTCAACCAGCTGCTCCTCGGAGGAAACCATAAACAGTCACCATGACTCCACAGCACTTAATATATTTACCTAAAGACAGTTGAAAAGGGATGGGAATGGGAAGGTGGGGGAATGGAAATAAGAAACAGGCGATTCCAATCATTGCAATGAAACAAAGTAGGATTTTTTTTAATGTAAAACTAATCTCGATTGTGAGCTCAATTCATAAAAATTTTTTTAAATACTTGTTAAAATGGAGTTGGTAACAGTGAATAGAAATGTATTAGTATCCTAATACATTAGTGACACTGGATTAATGCGCCAGACTGCAAAGCTGGTTGAACTGCAAGATCAGCAGTTCAAGATAACCAGCTGCTCCTCGGAAATCATTCAACGGGACTAATACCAACAGGGTCACCCATGATGGGCAGGTTTCAAATGAGCTTCCAGACAAAGCAGACTAGGAAGAAAGTGATGGAACAACTTTCAAATATTTGATTGGAAAGCACAACTTCAAGAAGTGGGTATGGTTGTGAGCAGGGAGGTATGATTGTTTTGATTAATGTGGATAAGCAATCTAAAATGTATTGATTTCTAAATTAACATAATTGGTAGACCTTGAAGGACCTAGGGAATGGGGCCTTAGCAAAAAAAAAAAAAAAAAAAAAAAGATGGTTGTCTTAACCAGAATTGCTTATTGAGCTCCATTGTGAAGCAGGTTTCACTAAGGCCTGGGTATGAAGTTTGGTATCTAATCAAACTCATTCCAGTTAAGAGCAGTTCCTTCTGAGCACATCAGGACTTAGGCTGAGGGAATGCTAGAAAAGTAGGAGAGGAAGAACAGATGTATGGCATTCTAGGCCTTTTTTTTTTTAATTTTTTTTTATTGTGAATTAAGTGAAAGTTTACAGGGCAGATTATCTGGGTTTTTTTTAATGTTTTATTGTAAATTATGTGATAGTTACGTGGGAGAACATTAGTTTTACATTAATCCTATTGTGTATCCTTTCATTACCATGGTTACAATCTACTCTATGCATCATCAACCAACCAAAGGGTATATATACCCTGCAAGCCTGCCCCCACCGCCATCGTCAGCACACAGCCCCTCTCCCTTTCTGGATCTAAAGTCCCCAACTGCTCCATCTCTCCGTGTCATTGTCTCTGCCTCCATCTCTGGCATTGCTGCTTCTCTGGGTAGGATCCCGCTCTCCACTTTTGTCCCTTGATGGTCCCAGGGACCTCCGCTCCTAGGCTGCAAAATTAATCACTCCCCTCCTTGCTACAAAATGTCTACCTTCACATTTCCAACCTTCACAATCAGTCCTCCACTATTGTATCACTAGAGACCTATCCACATTTCCTTTCATCAGCCCTGCCTACTCAGTAGAGATTCTACCTTTCCTCCATGCCCTATGGATCTAGGTTCCCTCTTGAAAGCTTGTAAGCCATTCACTTCCTGCCTTTGTAGCCCCCCCACACACACACACACACTTTGGGTAGCCAATGTCCAATTTGCCCATTCCTGTCTGTATATGGAGGGGGTGGGAATGATCGATGCTGTAAAGATTTGTTCCCCCTTTTGAGCTAATTCTAGGTATTTGTGTGTGTGTGTGCTCTTAAGGACTCTCCATGTGATGCTGTAGGATCAGCACTGGACTCTGAACCATAATAAGGTCAGAAGTTTAAACCCACCAGCTGCTTTTCTGAAAAGGTCACTATGAGAACCAACTCCACAGCACCTAACAACAAAGGATTGTATATGAAAAACCATAGACAAAGTGATACTCATTAGTTATGGTGTTGGGTAAGAATATTAAAGGTACCATGCACTGCCAGAAGAACAAACCAATCTGTGTTGGAAGAAGTACAACCAGAATGCTCCTTAGAAGCCAAGGTGGCCAGACTTCTCTCATACTTAGGACATATTATCAGGAGGGACCAATCCCTGGAGAAGGACATCATGTTTGGTAAAGTGGAAGGACAGCAAAAAAGGAGACCTCCCACCCCCACCACCAACGAGCCGGATTGGCACAGTGGCAGAAGCAATGGGCTCAAGCATAGCAGCCATTATGAGGATGGTGCAGGACCAGTTGGTGTTTTTGTCCTGTTGTACATAGGGTCATTATGGGCCGGCACCTAACATCAAGAATTGAGAGGGGCATGACCTAAACCTCAGAGCCCTTGCTGAAAGTCCCCAACTTCGGCAGCTCTCCTAGCTCTATAAATAGGGGACATCAGGGAATGTGGAGTTCTTTACATTATCCATTTGCCCTGGTTCTAGAACAGGAGCTGCAAGTGATTGCTCTTCATACTGCTTGAGCCCAAATTTTGTGTGTACCTCAGAGCTCATAAAAATTCGGTTGGCCAGCTGGACTCAATGGCACTTAACAATCACCGAGCAGTAAGCTTTAAGGAGTGTTGAGTTTCACTCCCTTGAAAAGAAAGACACATGGAAGGATATTTCTGTTGAAAACTTTATAGTCCAAATGTTAGACAAAACCTGGAGTTTGGAGACCTGGGAATCTGTCACAGAAGAGAGTTTCCGCCTCCCCTCACATACTTGCTTCAAGGCAAACACACACTAGAACTTCTAAATACCAGCTGTGCCCATCATTGTTCACTCTGGTCTAGAGAATGCAGTTTCTTCTGGGTTCAAGGTTAGGAAGTACCTTTATCAGATGGAAATGCAAGAAATCCCATTACCAGTCCCACCCTTCTGCATCAGGTCAGTCTGTGTTCTCCATTTTGGTCCCCCTGGGCACCAGGAAGATAGCCCCATCGGCAGCCTGTTGCAGGGCATACTCCTCAGGAGAGTAGCTATTGCCAGCTCCATCCCGAAGATGCTGGAAAATGTCCCGGTACAGCTCAGTCAACTGATGCCGCATGGCCTCCAGGGTCCGGTCTGCCTCCCCACGGGCCCTGAGAAGGCGCTCACGCTCATTGCCCAGCCGTTCCAGTTCCCGCTCCAGCTGCACGATGGTCTCTAGCTTTCTCTTGCGGCAGTTCTGGGCAGCAACCTTGTTCTTGCCCCGCCTTCGGATGTCCCTGACTAATGCCAGTTGGCTGTCCGTCAGTGGGTACCTTGCCAACAGTTCGTTAAAGTCATCTACTGGCAAGTTGACAATCTTATCCGTGGGGAAAGGAATCTTCATGGCCAGGGCCCGGCGCTCATCCCGACTCCCTGACTCCCCCCGTACACTGGACTTGGCTCTCACAGGGCCTGAAGAAGGCTCTAAGGCCAAGGGGGTCTCCGTAGGTGGCAAAGAATAGTTGGGATGGGTTAAGGGATTGGACATAAGTGAATAGGGGTACTCCACTGGGTACATCTCTACATACTCATTGCGCCGCCGTCCAGCCTCCGTCCCCTCCAACTCAAGAGATTCAGCATCACTATAGTTGAGGGATAGTCCCGAGTCTGATTCTGGGTCTTCTTGAGGCTTGGGTGTCTCTGCAGGCAGCCCAATGTCCAGTAGGGCCAAGGGGTCTGAAAGGGGCTCACTAAGCAAGCCTGAGAGGGTCAATGGCTTAGATACTGGTATGGCCATGTTGCCATAGGAATATGGAGGGTCTGGGACATGGGATGCAGGTGCTGGGAGCTCAAAGGGTGGAGGAGGAAGAGGGAAACCAGCATCAGGATGAACTGAGCAAGGGCAGTAAGTTACAGGTGGTGGGGGCCCAGAGTAGGGGGCTGGGGGCTCAAACGATGGCTCACTTGGAACATTTAGGCCCTGCAAAGATAGAAAGAAAAAGGTTTGAAGATAAACTGAAGAAGAGACACCAGTTCTTTCTCAGGGCCAGTCCAGTCTGGGTCCTTCTAAACAACCTAGTGAGATATTAGCTCACTAATCTCACAAAAATATCACAAACGGGTGCTAACAATCATTGGTGGTGGTGGTTATGTGCCCTGGAGTCAGTTCCAACTCATGACGACCCTATACAGGGTTTCTGAGGCTGCAAATCCTTAACATGAGCAGAATGCCTCATCTTTCTCCCACGGAACAGCTGGTAGTTTTGAACTGTTGAACTTGAGGTTCACAACCCAATTTGTAACCACTATGCTACCAGAGCTCCTAACAATCATTAGAAACTTCTTATAAATCTATAATGCATCTGTTCTAAGAAAAAATCTTCCAAAGCAAGAATGGAAGTCACTAAGGTCAGATTTCAGTAAGGACCACCTAAAGTTGGAACAATTATGGAATCTCTTCAGAAATTCTTACTGGTTTGAAATGGCTTGTTCTTTTGTCTCCTTCATGAAGACAAGGAACTTTTATCCAAGATAACCTCTCAGAACCCCTTCCTGCTAGGGTTATCTTTGGTCAAAGGGTCAAGTTTAGTCCCTGGTCTTGCCCTGGGTGGCCAGCAGAGGGAGCTGCTATGTGGGAGGAAGGCCTGGGGCAGATCCTAAGGATAACCAAACTAGAGAAAGGGGTGGGGCAGAGACACGGCTGGGAGTTATGAAGCACCCCGGTGAGTTAACCTAAGCTCTGCCCTCTCCAGCTTCTCTGTCCCTTCCCAGGTGCAGCAAAAAGGTACGAACATTCTGAAAGCAGGGCCCCCAACCCACGTCGGGGGAGCCACTCTACTCCAGCCCAGCTGGGGACAAAGTCACCATTGTTCAGCCAACAGACACCCCTTTGTCCAACCAGTAGGAGGAGAGGACCCCGGCATAGTCTGACTCCCCTTCCTGAGGCCCCTGAACTACTGCTCTGTTACCTGAGGGAAAGGGGCCCAACTGCTAAAGGCAGGGGCTAAGAAAAGAGCAGAAAAAATGGTCAGAGAGGAGAAAAGAAAGGTCAAAAGAGAAAGAGAGGATGGGGAAAGAAAATTGGTTGGAACAGGAGATGGGGTAGAGAGAGCCTACAAACCCATTCAGACCCTTCCCTCTCCATCACTCCTATCCCCTGCTGGCTGTTCTCATCTCACACTCAAATCTCCCTCAAACTCTTGCCCTCCCTTCTCCAGTGTCTGAAACTTTCAGCTTGAGACCCTGAGCTCTGTCTCCTCTAGCCCCCTGCCTCAGTCAATCCCAGCCAAAGCCCTGGCTTCTTAGCTCCTCTCCTCCATTGCTCCCCTCCTCAACTCACCTGCAGCTCAGTGATGGACATGATCTCTTGCCAAGTCAATTCCATCTCACCAGGCTCCAGAGTAGGCAGCTGTGTCACCCTGTTCCTGCTCTGCTGGGGAGGACACGGGGGCATCCTACTGGGCCAAAGCCTCGTTCAGCTTCCCCCAAAGTCCAACGTCCCCCAACAACCTGTGGCAAAGAAGAAAGAAAAGTTAGGGTCTCCATAGCTAGAGGTCAGCACCTGGGTTCTGCCTCCATGAAGAGGTTGTCTCTCCTCACCTGAGGAAAGGAGAGACCTGGTTCCCATCCCTCATGTGTGCTGGCCTCACCCAACCAACTCCTTAAGCAGAAAGGTCCTTTTCTGCAGTGGATCTCTCTATCTTTCTTACCAGCCACAGAACAAAGTAGGTCTTTGCCTTTTTTTTTTTTTTTTTTTAAAGCCAAGATGCCTTCTACTTTCTCTTACTTCTTCTTATTCCCCAAAACTGGGCAAAAGTCAGAATTTCTAGGTTGTTTTAGGGGTTTTTACTTCTATTCTCTAGAGCAACATCAAGGAAACACCACTGCTTTCCTCATACTCAGTTTTAAGGTCTCAGTCTTTTCTTCCCAAGATGAGAGTGAGTCCTTGGGGATCCCCAAGGAGTATGTTGTGGGAAGAGCCAAAGAGACAGCCCCTCCCCCTTGCTGAGATATGGCCCAGGCCTGGTGGCTGATAGCAGCCCTGCCCTCTTCTCCTATCCTGGTCCTGGGCTCTCCTGCCTGAGCCAGATAAGAGGTTTATCAGCTGCATGCAGCAGAGAAAGAATGGGCTCTGGATACAGTGGACCTCTGTCCTGTCTCCACAGGGTCATCTTGGTCATACCCAACCCAAACACAGCCAGAGGTCTTTCTTCTTCTGAGGTAATAAAACAACCAACAATTGTTGTTAAGTGAAGTTGAGTCAGTTTCCACTCACAGAAACCCTGTACAGAGTTTCTAAGGAGCAGCTGGTATGTTTGAACCACGGACTTGGTGGTTCAAACCAACCTTGCAGTGCTTATCCTACCAAATGCCATACCAGGTAGGACTCCATAACAACATAAGTTCCACAAAGAGGTTCTGATTCATAGTGACCCTGTAGAGAGTTTCCAAGGAGCCGTCAGTGGGTTTGAACCACAGACCTTGCAGTTAGCAGTCCAGTGCTTATCCTACAACACCACACCAGGACTCCATAACACCATAGAAAAACGTACTATGCACTTGTCAAGAACTGTACTTTTGTTCTATGATGTTGTTATTAAGTGCCGTTGAGTTGGTTCCGACTCATAGAGACCCTGTATAGAGTTTCCAAGGAGTGGCTTGATGGGTTTGAACTGCCAACCTTGTTGTTAGCAGTCCAGTGTTTATCCTAACAGTGCCAAATGTAGTTCTATAGGTGTTAGTTTATGAGATTGATTTTCACGAAGATCCTATAAATTCCATTCAGGAACTAAGACCCAAACTGGTAAATGAAAGGGTCAGGTCTAAAACCTATACTGTTGGTCTCTACCCTCTGATACAAGCTTCTAGACTTACAGATGACTTCTCATTCTGCTCCTGTATCTCTGTTGTTCGAATTTCTACTTGTGGCCCACAAATCACTTCTCTTTATAAAGTCTGTCTCTTTTCTCTTTAGGGGAATTATCTCTTTAGAACCTTGAATATATCCCCCACTCACATCTAGCCCCTTTTCTTGTGATCTAGTCTCTAGCTACAGGGTTGCCACAAAGCAACAGTGTGATGTTGGGCAAGTCATCTCGCTTCTCAGGACCTCTGTTTCCTCATTTGTAAAATGAGGCAGTTGGACAAAAAGAACTCAGAAGTCTTTTTGTGCTTTTGGACACATTAGAGTTCTCAGCAACTTCCACTTCTGCCTTCACCTTTTCTCTGTCAGCGCCTCACCTTATTCTACCTCCCTATTCTCTGACACCCAGCTCTCCCTGCATCTGTTCTTAATGCCTTGAGCAAGGGATTCCAGAGCTTTGGAGGTGGCCTCCTCAAATCTCAGGACCAGACATCACAACCATGCCCATACCGCATACAAGTAAAGCAGTCTGGGATGGGTGGGGGAAATTTGTAGGGCATTGAATAGGATTGGATGATCTCAAACTGTTTGACTTTAAATCACCACAAAGATGGCCCATTAGCAGCTATCTAGTATGGAATCTAGTCTAATTTAATCACAAAATTATTGAGAACAACAAATTATCCTTTTGAAAGAGGATCTCCCCTAGCCACACCCCGTTGTTATATTACCATCTCCAGAGCTGGGAGTTGGTGTAGGCATAGGCCCTTGGCCAGTGGGCAGAGTGGGTGGGGTGTTTATGTCTGTCCAGGATGCCATTTCAACACCGGAACCCCACCCTCCCCACCCAGGTTCTGGAGGAAATTGCCCAAAGGCAAAGTGAATGGAGAACAGAGTTGTGGGGCAGGGACAATGACTCTTGCCTCATAGTCCTTCACCTCCCCACTTTGTCCCTCCCTCTATCTTCCTGGATCTGACTAAGGTGCAGTACAAAGATTCTGCTATAGGAGGCAGGGAAGGGACCATGTTCTCTGGCTCACCCAGATGCATGACCTTAGGCAAATTGCTTCACATTTCTGGGAGCCTCCACTGTCTCTCAGTCTTTTCCATTAAATGGAGATAGGACTAGAAAACCCCATTAGTGTATGAGACAGTAGATTGCATGTAGTCCAGGGGTTTTCACAAATGTTAGCATATGCCACATTGTCCCTGGAATATTTATAAATACGCAGATTCCTAGAGACTGTCCCAGACTACTGGATCAAATCCTAGGTGTCTGGACCAGGAATCAACATTTAAATACCTTAAGAAACACGGAACAAGTATGAACTCACAAGAACACAAAGCCAGAAAGTGAAAAGAAAGACCCATAAATGAATCTCCAGGCTTCTCCTAGCTTCCAACCTTTTACCCAGGTAAGCCTGGGCCCAGATTATTGTGGTCTCTGAGGCTAAGTATTATCCCTTCATCCCACATCAAGCCCTGGAGCTCAGTCTCTTCCTCTCCCTGTGACAGGAAACTGAAAACTTAGATGGGGGGAGTAGGGTGAGACAAAAGGTAGGGGAGAGGAGGTCTAGAACCTATGGATCAGCTCCAACCAGCTTTCTGGTGCAGTAACAAGTTGGCACCAGGCTAAAGGGGGAGCTGTTTTCCCCTAGACGTGTAGGGAAGGATGGTGGTCTGTATACTAGGCTTGAGAGCCTACCTTATAGAGGACAGGGGACTGGAAGCCAGTGGAATAGATTAGCAAGAAAGGTGAAGTCAGAATGGGATCTAACAGAACCTCACAGAGGGTGCAGGTACTAGAGAGATAATGGGAAAGAGGAAAGAACCCGGGAAGAGCTGCTCTGACAAAAATCTCCCCGTATCTCTTTTACAATGAATACTTCCCTCTTTCCAGTTTAGTCTGCATTTTGAAGTCACACAACTATCTTATTCCCACTGGGTTGGCTGTTCCTTCTCTTATTCCCCAATATCTTGGATCAGTTAGGACTGGAGCAATCTCCAGGGACTAACACCCATCCCCTTCCCACTCATGCTGCCCAGAAAGATTTTATTACAATCCCTAAGTCCTCACAGCAGGGTATCAGAGCTTTTTGCTTATAGATGCAGCATGAGGATCATTCAGAGAAGGATGCTGGGCAGAGGAAGGCATTCAGTCACAATTGCTGCCCAGGGGCTCTAACATCCTTGACAAGGGGGAGTGGTAAAGAACAGGTTGCCTTGAGGTCCCTGTTCAGAGACTGATCGGACGACTCTACCACTCCCAGGGTTAATAGAAACACTTTCACAAGGGGTATGAAGGGTTAGGAAACTTGGGGTATGGGGCAGCAGGTGGTCAACCTATTTAGAAAGATAAGGGGGAATCCCAGAGGCAGAGGCACACAGAGACCATGTAGAGAAACAGAGTGAAAGACCAGGGAAGAGAAATTTGAACAGAGCAAGATTCAAAACTCCTAGAAGCATGCATGACTCAGATTAGTATATAGAAACAGAGGAGGACATCACTAAGTCCCTAGACCCTTAAGTCCAGATTTTTAGGGGCTAATGACAAGAGAATCCCAGCCCCCTGTGCATCTTCCCTTCTACTACTTCCCAACCCCTACCTCTCAAGCTGCCAATAGTTCCAGTTGGGAAGAAACTATTTTAGGGGCTGACTTCCTCTCCCTTCTGGATCTAGCTGATATCTACAGACCTTGGGTCCAGAGAAGAGAAGGGGCAAAGGCAAGAACCCAATATCCCTACCTAATCACTCCCATTGTGCTACAATGAACACTTTTTAGAGATCCAGTGTCCCTAACGCCTCAGCACCCCTAAAACTTTCCCAGTGGGCTGGGCAGGGCAGAGCAGGGTCATGGAATGGGTGGAGAGAAAGATGGTACCATATGTCTAGGAATCCATCAGCAATCCTAGGGCAGCAAACCTGTTGAAGAGCTCCTCTGGGCTACTCTTCAGCCCCTCAAGGGTTCCTTGGGGAACCACTGGTTCCTATCTATACAGCCTCCCACCCTAAGAAGCTCAGCATTCAAGCAACCATCTAGGTCTTCTCCCAGTGGAATTCCCAAAGATGTCAAATTCCTAAACTATAGGTAGCCTGGGAAGGCCTGAGATCTCCTAGGAATGTATTGAAAGTTGTTTATTTTCTCCCTCTGCCTCCTCCACCCTCCCAGCCTGCCCCTCAGATCTCACTAGAATCCCCCCTTCCCACCCCAGTCCTTAGGCACCTGTGGCAGAGTCCAAGCAGGGTGAGGAGAGAGATGAGGCTCCGGATGTCGTCTCTAAGGAGGCTGGGCCTGGGCTGACACCTTCTGGGTGAGGATTCCTCACTACCTCTAAGAGCCAGGCAGAGTCACACCACGCCCCCAAGCCATTTCTGAGTGCTGAGTGTGGAAGCTGTGTTTGAGCTAGGGGAGCCCTAGGGCAGGCGCACCAGCCTCTTCTCTGAAGCCCTGAGCCAGAGTTCTCCTCGGTCCTTCCTCCAACCCTCCCCTTTCCCCTGTGGCCCTCCTCTCCTCCTGCCCCTTCTGGCCAAGAGAGGAAACTTGAGCCTAGTGTGGTTTCTGCCCACACTCCCGCCCCCACCTTACTCC